TGTATCTGGTGCTGTATTTGATAAGAAATAATTATTAAAATACAAAGTACAATATTTTTCTCTTATTTTGACCTAAATTAATACAAAATAATGTAAAAAGTATGAAAAATATGCTTAATGAAAATTCTGCGTCAAAGGGTTAATGCCCAACCATTAAATGTAGTCTTCGTAAGAAAAATGCATATTCGAAAAATGTGGTAGTACATATTTATTCGCGGTTCGCACGTTCCATAAAAACTTAAAAAGCTCCAGAAAAATTACGAAAAAATACTTATTCTTATAGTTTTATAGTTATTACAACAATTAACATTTCTTGATAAATATATCTAGTTATGAATTTACATGGTTTTGAATATTTAATGTTGAAGTGAATGGTAATTAAAAAAATTGGAGCCTCTTCATTATAATATTGACAAATAATATTGACTTCATATAATATTGATTTCATATAATATTGACTTTTTTTTAGTTTTTTCAAGAACCGCAAGGGCTCTTTTGTTCATATCAAATCAATATTTCTTCCTGATACTTTCTGTTTCTTATGTTCCACTTTAAAAAAAAAAAAAGCCATATGCTCAGCCCTCAGATCCAAATATAACTACTTATATTGCTAATATATTGTAGTAGAGTAAACTATCTAGTTCCTGTAGATTAGAATAATAAAAAACTGCCACTTTTACGTATTATTATAAAAGGAACAGTTTTTTTAAAACCACGAATGGGTAAATTAATCCTTAAGTTACCAGACTATACTGTTTTTAATAAATTATGATCGATAGAAGTAACTTTCAAATTATCTATTTTTTTATTTTGAAGCAGATGGAAAAAAGGGTGAATCTGTAATGATAAAAACTGAAAGATTAAAAATTTTCCTCTGCTAGCTACCACCTTGGAAAAAAAAACGATCACAAACGAGCTAAAACACAGTTAACTCATTCCTCGTTCAAATTTATAATGACATAAATAAGAATATTTCAATCTTTTTAATTTGTCATATTTGCCATTTTATCAAATATTTTATAGAAATATAATGTCCATTTTCCGCAGATATTGACCAAAAATAATGGTTTCTGTACATTTATCATGAGTAATTTATTACTGATCAAAATGGAAATACATGATAAATGTGCATGTTTGAGTCAGCAATGAATGTTGGGGTAACAAGTGTTATTCTCAGTGGCCAAATAACACTCTGCACCCAAGGGACAAGTCTGATATTTAATAAATCAACTCTCCCATCCCTACGATTTTCTTCTCCGTTAAAGTATTAATGTCAGGTTATTTCTCATGAAAGATTATTCATTGTACTCTAAAAGTATTTTTACTTGTAACAAATCGTTAGTTTGAAAATATAATTGTTTATATATGTATATAAATTGTTATATTTTTTAAACTAACTAACTAACTATATATATATATATATATATATATATGTGTGTGTGTGTGTGTGGAGACGGCATGAGTGGTCGTCTTAAATAAAAGACACGTTCTTAAACAAAAACATATATATTGAAGATTAAATTTACATAAGGACGGACGATTAACAATTAACGATTAAATAACAAAAAAAAAANGTGTATAAAATATTAACTTATGTTCACATCTTTTTTTAATTCCATAAAAAAACTAATATTAATTATTTTCTGTCTTCAAAACCATTTTTAGAAGAAACAAATTATTGGTAACATAAAATAATTAGCAAACTAAACAATATTTTTCAAGATTTGAGTAATTAAAGTATAATAGTTGAAATAATATTTTTTACAATTTTACCAGGCTTTTTATCAATTTTGACATTTTTGAAGATTTTTCAAATGCTTTTCTTAACTAATTTTTCGTGTTTCAAATTTCCATATACCTAGCTTCTTTTAAAAAAGAAATTATAATATGGATTTCAGATGTGTAATTGGTTTTTCTCCCCAAGCTACATTTTTTCTTCTCGTAATGTACAAGTTTAAAAGCGTTATATATAACAGAGAGTCGCATAAGTGTTGCAACAAACTTGTGGGAGAGTTGTTACGGCACATCATCAAAATTAAAATTGCATGGGAAACCTTGTGGGAAATGTCGTCAAATGCCACTAGGGGTGTTTCCCTATTATGAATTGTTTCTTCGTATTCTTCTGAAGCACCCCAAGCTACATACGCCGACATTTCTAGGCATGCGTTCCTATGCAGTTTTAGTCCTGGTGATGTACCCTAACTTACCTATAGGTTTATAGTCAGGATAAAGTATTGGGGGAAATTTCCCGTCGTGGAGGACTTCTTGATTTAACTAACCCATACTTGCGCTATAAGGATAGGAAAACCACAAAAACCTTACAGAGTTAGCCTTGCGACAAGGGGATTCTAACCCATGATCCGTCTACCACTGAGGATATTTTACATCAGCTCTGTGGTCGATGCGAGCTGGATACGGAATTAGTATCGACCTGTCATTGCTATAATTCGAACCCGGTTCACCTCGTGCATGAAGTATTTTATTTTACTTGATATCCGTCGTGAGACAGCCGACCCTATTTGAAGTTTATGACTGCCAATGCTCAACTTCGTAGTCTTGTAATTTTGAACCCAATCCAGAAGACAAGGGAACTCCGAGATCAAGCATTGGGAGAAATTTTGCCTTCCTGGAGGACTTTTTGATGGAACTAACCTGCTTTTGCGTTACATAGAGATAAAAACTACGAAAACCTCCCACGGATAGTCTAATGACAAGAGGACTCTAACATATGATCCTTCTACCACTGAGGATATATTACATCAGCGCAGTGCTTGGTACGAGCCGGAAGCCGAATTCGTATTGACCGGCCATCACCGGGATTAAAACCCGGTTCACCTCATTGGGAGGCAAACTCTCTTTACTCAGAGTCAACAGGACTCCCTGTATGAAGCATTTTATTTTATTTTGTAACCATCGTAGAACAGTCGACGTAATTTTTGGGATTACGGCTACTATTGTTCAAATCCATAACCTAGTAATTTTGAACCCAATCCAGAAGACAAGGAAGCTCCTGGATCAAGCATTTTGGTGCGAATTCACTTACACTGAGAGTATTCGAGTGAAATTAGCACGCATTTGTGTTTTATATAAAGACGAAATCCTCCCTCTCTTAGCCCTAAATTTGCATTGTAATCAAAGATTAAGGCAATATACGAATCGACCCCTTATCTCCTGGATTTGAACCGGCACTGTAAAAAATTCCGGTAAAAGTACTGGTACTCAGGGTGCCGGTACTATTCCCCGTAAAACCCATTTTTACAGGAACATGTTGCGGAAAAATCTGATATGCTGTAATTTTTACAGATATAATTACTGAATAAATCTAATTAAATAAGTATTTTCTTTAAAAATTACGGTATAATATTTTACGATAGAAATGGATTTTACTGTAAAATGGATTTTATGCCCCCAATGGAATGGATAACGCCCCCAAAGTGACGGTACTTTATACCTTTATTTCATCCTGAATTTTTTACAGTGTTTTTACATTGAGAAGCGAGTGTTTTACTGCAAGTGCGAATAAAAAAAATAAAAAATACAGGTTTTCTTTGTTTTTTAGGCAATTAAAGTGTGACTCTTTTTTTCTTTTGCGAAGATATTTCTTGGAAAATAGCTGTATGTCCATACTTATATCAAAACAGCTGTGACTGTTGTTGGTGATAATAACAAAAATAAATTAAAATATTTTTTATACTTTGGTGAGAAAATAATTATCTGAGCAAATGACGAAATTATTAATTTCAGAATTTGAGTTGGGGGAGGGGGTTTATCAATAGTTCATTTTTTTAAAAAGAAAATATTAATTTAAATAACAAATTTGAAGTTATAAAAAGAGAAAATATAATCCTAGAGTATATCTATACGGAAAATATACTAAACTACTACTAAACTCAGTGGTGCGACAGCCCATAGAGGGCCAAGGCCTACTGTGCCCATCTCAGTTTTCTTGACCTTGAGCTCTAGGGTGCAGGAACAGATGTTCCAATCAGGTGGTCAGCCGAACGTGGAACCCCCAGTGATTACTTCCCAATCATGTTTGGTACTCATTTATCGCCCCACTGAAGGGATGAAAGGCTGAATCAACCTTGCCTGGCCCGAGGATCGAACCAAGGACCTGTGGCACGAGAGCGCGAAGCCCTACCGCTCAGCCACCGGTGGAAAATATATCTATATTAAAACTTCTCACCGAGGTATGACTGAGTAAGATCAGTAATTACTTTTAATTGTCTTTATTTTATAGATTGCTTTGCTTTCCATAAATAAAACTATTTTTAAATTAAATAACAGCTTGACTCGAGGGTTTGAAAATCTCTACTTTTGTCTTTCTTTTTCATTCAATAAAAGTTCAATGACACTTTTTTAACTTATATTCGTATGTCTACGATTAATATTTTCTTTATTAAATGCTTAATAAAACAAATAATAATAACATACAATTTCCTATATATTTTATTAACTGACATTTTTTATAGATACACTGTAAGAAATTGTAATTTGGTGTGATGTTGCCCATGTTTTTAATGCTGAGGTAAACTAAAGAAATTTTTAGGAACAGAACTGTAATTATCTTGCAATTAAATAAAGTTTACAAAATAGCAATTGTTTGAAAGAATTTGTGCGAATTTATAACTAAATATGTGTTCGTTTTTAAATGAAATATTTTTGCAATAAAGCCATAAACTGATTTTGATACGCATGAAAATATGTGTTGTCATTAAACAAACAAAGAAGGAATAACTAACTTATAATAGTGAAAATATAATTAAAAATGCGACTACATGTGGTATGAAAAAAATTTAGTTTACCACACCACAAAAAAAAACGGAGAAAAAAACTATACCCCAAAATTTTTTATTCTGAAATTCTGACATAAGTAAATCAAACGCTTATTAATTTAAAAAAGAATTGACTTTAAAGTCAAGAAAATTTATACTTAGTCATTTCCTCATTCATTGAAAGTGTATTTTTTTCATTGATGTGATCAAATCAGATAATTCTCATTAATATACGCTTTATTAAATGCTTAGTAAATTAAGGTACAAAAGAATATTGAAGACAAAGATAAATCTGGAATTTGACAAATAACTTCAATCCCTTTTCAAATGCATATCTTCGTGTACTTCTGTCTTCATAAGCTGTGTAGCGCCACCTATTAATAGAAATATAAACTTGCATGAATTACTACTTCCAATATACGTTATAAAAATTAAAAGCTACGTAAGACAGAGTTCAAAAGGTGTTTAAAAAAAGTGATCCAAATTTTTTAGTACACAAGTCAATTTTTTCTGTTATTAGCATTTGATTTTAAATTTAAAACTTAAAACTTGAAAGTTTTGGAATATGTTTTTATATTATCCATATAGTTTTTAAATTTACAAAATACTGTACCGAACTTCATGAAAAAGTTTCATGCTTATTAATACTTTTATGACTCTCTAAGTGTTAAAGAAGTTAACCGAACCAGTAAATTAATCGAACATTTTAAACACAAAAGGTATCTTCAGTACTACTAAGCAATCGAAGTAATTGAATTCATAAGAATTTATAGAAGTTTACAATTCATAAAAATGCATCAATAACAAACTAATCCAAAGCATTCATTATTATAAGTTATTTAAATAAAATTACAAAGCTGCAAATCACCACAAAGATTATAATAATGATCATAATTAAGATTTATCAATATTTCAAAATAATCGAAAAAACGCAAAAAGAAAGAAAATTTTTAAAATCAGTTTGACTCAAATTTTTAAAAAAAAATTGAGTTAAACTTTCTTTTAATCAAAGTAAACAAAGTTTTGCGTACATACATTATTTTGAAAAATAACCGATAGTTGCATTTTTAATATTTTTCATTCTTCAAAAACTTAAAAAATATGGTTAAGTTATCAAAAATAAATCAATTGTAATCCTTATTCAGAACCATTAGAAACTTTGAATATATTAAAGAGAAATTAATTCACTGTATGGCACGTACATTAATTGATTTTCTTCTCTTAAGCCTAGATACGAATAAATATAACAATGTGTTCTCTAAATATAAGAAAAAAATCATTTATTATTATTTATTTTTTGTGTAACATTAAATAAAGAAACCACTGTTGCACTAATAAATAAAATAAATAAATAAATTTATTATTTTAATAAATATATTAGGCATTTTATAAGTAAAATCATTCTTAGACAAAGAAACAACTTTTTATTTATTTATTTATTCACAATGCTCAAAATCACAGGCCTTTTATCAGCTATTAATGGGCTAGCAAGTAAGACAAATAAAGATCTCACAGCGATCTCTGCGGGAACATTACTTTTTCTTACGATGGATTTGAATTTTTGATCATAACTACATGGAGGTGTATATTTTATTTTCTAACCAGTATTGAGCAGCCGACCCAAGTCTGAATTTACGAATATCAATGTTCAACTCCAGGCTGATAATTATGAACATGACCCAAAAGATAAAGGGACTTCTAGGTGAAGTTTTGGAACAAACTAGCCATCGTGTAGGACTTTTTGATGTAAGTTACCCGCATTCACGTTATATGGAAAGAAAAGCCACGGAAACTCCCACAGTTAGCCAGACAACAAGGGGATTCGAACCCGTGATCCGTCTACCATTAAGGCACTGTGGTTGATTCAGCACTGTGGTTAATGCGAGCCGGGGGCAGGATTTTAATCAACCAGACATCGCGCATCGAACCTGGGTCTTCTCAGTTAGAAACAAATGTTCTATCCTATGAGCCACCGTAGCTCATAATATGAGAGTAGCCACAATCTCGCATATATGGTCCCAATTGATAAGGTAGGAAAGTTGCAGTCGAAAGGTTAATATAGAACATTTATTTTATAATTGTCATTGAACAGCCGATCCAAATTTGAGTTTACGACTACCAATGTTTAACTCTGTAGCCTTTTAAATTTGAACCGAATCCATAAGACAAAGGAACTTCTGAATCAGTACTCCCATAGGTATTGATTTGTTATGGGAACTAGGAGGACTTTTTTGAGACCCCCACAGATTTAACGTGCAGTTATCAGAGGAGATTTTCTGGATTTGTACTCCCTTTCTTACGAACACGAGTCCAACGTCCTACTAACCAGGCTAATTCTGCCAAATGTAAAATATTTTACGCATTTCACCATAGCTCGAGACCTATATAAACGAATTTTCGAAAATTTTGCGCACATTAAATTTCGCATCTACAGCGAGCCAAGAAAAAAAAATGAGCAACCCTAATTAATGCTTCATGGTTTGATCTCAAATATGCTACTTAATTAGTGCAGACGATATTTTAAATTACGAAATCAGACACAAAAACGTACTTTTTCTGAGTAAGTATGCCTTTTTTTTTTCAACGAATTCGAATTTCGTAATCCCAATTTATTGGGGGTAGCCAATATCTGGAAAATATGCTCCCCACAGTTTGGTCTGGAGAGCAATTCAAAATTTGGACCCCTTAATATTAATATTTACTTTTTTCGTATTTCTCCATATCTCGAGATTTTCTTAAGCTAACTGAAAAATATTTGCGCGCAATTCTAAAATTCGTTTTTCCAAAGATTAATTTATCCATGTAAATCCATGTACAAAGTAAAAAATAAATTTTTGTAAATATTAATTATTTTTTAATATTAATAATAGTTGAACTATTATTACATTTTAACTATTGACTAATTGTATCTATTAATTAATTTTATCTAATTTTAACTATTTGAATTCTTTAAAATTTGATTTCTCCCGAACTATTCAACTGATTTCGCCCAAATTTTGTTTTTTGCTATGTACTTTAATTGTACTACATACTTTAAAATGAAGATGTACACACTTTAAAATAACTTGAAAATTGCATACCTTTCAATCAAAATTAATTCGACTATTATTTAATAAAATAATAAAGAATAATAAATACTTAGTAAAATAATATTTTGCATGGAATTAAAACAAATTTCTATACTTGGCGAAATACGCAATAAATGAGATTAACATTAAGGGACCCAAATGTTTGGCTAATTTTCATATCGCGACCATATTTTACACATTCGCATGAAAATATG